ATCTCTCCACTAGTATTCTCCTCTCTTATCACCTCTGGATTTCACTTCTTTGGGTCCAACTCCTCTAAATACAACACACTTCTATTACCCATAGCATTGAATTGTTTTGGTTTTGGCTCAGTGTCACCCGGAATACCTCTTGCGAACGTAAGTTCATTGAACCTGCCAGTTGTCCAACCTGCTTATATGTAGCTTCATTGGACAAATAATTGTTATGCATCTTTTCTTCCAGCTTATCTATCCTCTCCATCATTTTCTTATACATATCTTCAATGTGTATGCCTCCTTTCGTAGCGCCAACACTAGGGCTCCAAAAGTTTGCACACTGACACAACGTCAGAAGTTTGCACCTTGGAGCGGTGCACCTGCAGTGCGCCAGCACCGAGCTCTATAGTTTTTCCCCTGGCGCGGGGAACCATCAGTGCGCCAAGCTAGGGGCTACTGTAGTTGGAGGGCTGGGGCAGCGTGCCACTAGTGTGCTTCAGCCTAGTTTCACTTCATTTCATCATATACGTGCTCCTTCGAGTTGCGTCGATGCTTCCTTGTTTTACTCTAGCTCTCATGTGCTCAATTTCCCTTCGAAAAGTCCTGCATAAGCTAATTACATGTCTTAGAGTGCAATCATTGTAATATCTATCAAAGCATAACAAATAACATAAATAATACTCTCAAAACACAAGGTACATGTGGAAAAATCATAGTAATTAAGTATATAAGTACGCCCAAGATTGAGAGATCTGCATAATCATTCAAGCAAACTTATGTTACAATAGTGAGAGATATATTAGTTTGTCTTAATTTATCTCTTTTGGAGGTGGGGGACGCTCTCTTGAAGTATGTTCGAGTTGGAGCTTAAAATATTGATTTGGAGTACCTTTTCTTCTTTTTTTTCCTTCATATTTTATTCAGTATTATTTCAAATATCCGAATAAATAAAAACAATTATAGTTATTAATGAATATAATTCAAAATACAATTATTATTTTTACAAACAACATTTAAATAAGAACAAACGATTGAAAAAACTGAACCAAAAATATCAATTATGAATATCACTATATTTCCAAATAATTGCCAATAAGTATTAATATTATTTATAATAGCTAATATTATTTTTTCATCACATTTAAATATGATCAAAGAAATCTGAGAGGAATTTACATAGGGTTATTCCTCAATATCCCTGACATTATCAAAAGGTATGTTGTAATTGCTTTTCTATTTGGATTTATTTTTCTATTTTATATTTTTATGTTTATTTTTTCTTATACATCTGATTAGATGTCATTTCAACAAGCTTGAGAGGGGGGGGGGGGGGGGGGGGGGGGGGGGGGGGGGGGAG